CTGGACTTTACACTCTACAACAGGACAACAACGGGAACAAGCGTGGTGAAACATGAGACATATTGAATAGAAAACTGAGGTGCTCAGGACGATGCAGACGATTACACAAAATACAGAGGCCCAAGGGGCGTGTATTGAAACAGTTTAGAGAGCTGCCCATTTTATCGAGGGTGCCAATGTGAATCGATAACTATCTTCTGTTTGGAGGTGGTAGACTTGGCTAGGGAACTGTCAGCTTCAAATTTATCAGATAACGATAGAGCAACAAACGCCTCTACCATTCGTTTCACGTAATTGCAATTACACATGTTGCGAGGTCGGAAGTTAAATAGAAAGGTTTTCTGTTAATTACTTCACCGATACCTCTTATATAGACGACCATTTTGTTATTTTGAGATGTTACGTATGTAATAGGTGAGTATATTTACAGGAGGGCTTTTCAACGCGTCTTTTCTTTTTTTGATTTTCTTCAGGGAAAAACTAAGGTGGAAATTCATCACAGAGGCAATGGGACTCCTAATAAACCATAAAGGACATGGACACTATACTGTGAGCTATATATTGACAGTCTAAGAAGATTCTTTTTTTTAATAGGCTTTTAGCCAGTTAGAGATGCGTATAGCCTGAAAAATAGGTTATTGCTAGGTCTTTATAGGCAAACATGTCGCTCCCTCACTCCAGTATGAACGACGACTTCCCATCAAACTTCGCACATTAAAGTCAGGGCCGTCGGTAGTCTTACACTGAAGGTGACATACTTTGCACATTTTCTTCCGACTCCGAGAAGTCGATTAACTTCCATATGATGTTTAGGATTGTAAACGAGCAGATCGACTGGGGAGTCTAAGAGAAAATGAGTTTCGTCATTAAAATTGAAGAATAGGCCTCAGCCTTTATGGACACTCGTACCCAGTTTTGGTAGGAGATCTTAATTTTCTTAAGCTTTGTGTCCAACGATTTGCTCATCGTGAGGTTTTGATAGTTTTTGCATCTTTCTATTAGTTCCGATGTTAACTGTGTCGCCAACTGAGAAATCCTGTGGATTTCTTACAAGAAATTAAATGAGATCTTTTAACAGAGAGATACGAAAGCTTCAGGTTTCTGTCCTGAATCACAGACCGCATCGTCTGAAGACGCAAATGGAATGAAAAGCGTTTAGGTCCGTCTACGGGCCTGTAACTCTTTTCAGTAAACATAGTAAACAGACAGAACGAAATGCTTTTTGATATCCATGTTTGTTTTAATTACCCAAATTAAAGATCTCATACACAGCTAGTAATAGCCCTTATTCTAGTTCCGCGCGCGCAGTTTAGTTGGACAGCAGTATCCTATGGTTGCGTACGCGAAAGCGAGGCCATCCGGTCAAGCTTCCCTGAAGATTTCTAGCAGGAGTGTAGAAAATATTAAATCGCTGTTAAATTTTAGGTGAAACATAATGGTTAGACACTATAGCCTTTGGCTGTACGAGCCGCAGTTCAAAAGAAGATTGTCGCGGCCTCGCATGGAATTCCTTGCCGCTATCAAACAAAGATCTTCTCCAGAAATGGCTGGTAAAAATCCGAAGGGAGAACACT